TCCACCTTAGCACACTTTCTCAGAGATCCATTTTAAAACGGCTAGGACGCGATTAACGCGAGGTCGAATAATGCTATATTCGATTTAGTGCGAATTGTATAACGAAACCAGTTCGCGTTTAATACGAACCAAAATTCAGTTATTGCGAGGCTAGCGCATGCGCAGCTGAGGTTACCGTTAGGGTTTTAGATATTGTTACTTCAGTCTGTACTTGTTCATAATGTTGTATTTTAGCGTCCTGTTGCACTGATTTTCATCCATGATATGTATACAGTGGCCGTCTTGTAGTGCACTCAATTTCACCTCTCAACACTCGCAGCTAAAAAGGGAACACACATCACAAGACACGATTTACACAGAATATAAGAAAAACGACCCCCATAGTAGAAGAACCACACACAAATTTTAATTAAGACACATAAGATGAATAATCTTAACAAGTTTTAGTGTGTGTAAATTTATTATAGTTGACGAATACGCACTTTTTAAATAATTTTATAAAGACATATAATGGCAAGCAATGCAATAGATTAGCGTAATTAGGGCACCTGATGATGGCACTATGTTGCCGAAACATGTCGTGAAGTAACAGGTGAAACTGAGTGCACTACGAGACGGCCACTGTATACATATCATGGATGAAAATCAGTGCAACAGGACGCTAAAATACAACATTATGAACAAGTACAGACTGAAGTAACAATATCTAAAACCCTAACGGTAACCTCAGCTGCGCATGCGCTAGCCTCGCAATAACTGAATTTTGGTTCGTATTAAACGCGAACTGGTTTCGTTATACAATTCGCACTAAATCGAATATAGCATTATTCGACCTCGCGTTAATCGCGTCCTAGCCGTTTTAAAATGGATCTCTGAGAAAGTGTGCTAAGGTGGAAACTGGACTCAAATAGTCACGGTCTGGTTCCAATAGTAAGATTTTTAATACGGTATTGGGCCTTCACATTCCATAAAAGCAGGGAAGTTCTTAACCAGTAAGCAACTAACAATTATCCCTGTAACAGGCCGTGGAGGCCCATCAGGTTGTGAGATGCTGAAGTCCCCACATTTTGTAGACAATCGGCTCATAGATGGCGGCAAGGTTGTCAGCCCTACGAGTCGGCCGCCCTTTACCCCCAAGAATATTCCTGGTACTCTTTTATGTTAGGGGCTGAGTCGACCCCAGGGCCATAGTGCGGCAGGAAGGATTAGGTTAATTGAAAAAAAATCCAATGACCTCATCGGGACTTGAACCCGCGACCTTCCTGCTTGTAGCATAGTGCCTCAACCAACTACGCTACCGCCTGCCCCTAATTAACACAGTAGAGCAGGGAATTAATCAGTTTGTCATTTTTCTGGGAACATTCTAACGTTCTTTCATGTCAGTATATCAAGAATGCAGAGATCAGATTTCCTTCCGTCCAGTGACACTAACGTCCCTTGAACTGAGTAAATGAAACTGTGTTACATTCGACGGTAGTTCTTGCTTCTTATTTCAGAAGTTACAGGCAGACTATAACCAATTTAACTCTACTTCAGAAGTCCATATTAGGACTGTGGTCTTCTGGGACGTGACGTCGTATAATTTGGTAGACAAGTACCAATGTTTCAGTGGGTTATGTCTCCTCAGTCTTAAAAATGTAACAATTAGGACATGCTGCTGCTTTGTTCTGTTCACAGGTGGAGCTGATGACTGGGCAAAAGGAGTAGCAGGAATCAAATACGCGTACACGGTAGAACTGAGGGACGATGGAACGTATGGCTTCCTACTTCCTGCCTCCCAGATTGTCGCCACGGGAAAAGAAACTTTCGCGGCCATCAAAGCGGTCGCCAGAGCAATCGTGTGCAAGAACTAAATATAACTTATGGTCTTGCAGCTTTCTTCGTCAGTTCATTGTAAATCTCGAGTCATATTTACAAATGATGTTCCTTCGTGGCAAGAACTGCCTTCTGTCATGATCTAAAACCGAACTTTGTTTCCATAGTAACCATTTATTTTTTTAATTCGCTTAGTTGGGGGTGGAGTCCAACTGGGTCCATTCGGCACGGCGGCCACCGATTTGCCTATTGTAGCCTGGCCGGGGTGATTATGATGGAGAATTTGGTGGAATGAAGATTGGCAGGGGAAACAGAAGTACTCGGAGAAAACTCGCCCCAGCGAAAACTTTGTCCAACACAAATCCCACTTGACCAAAGCCGTGCCGGTTAAACTTCTGCTCTTCATGTCACTGTCAACAATCATCCCTGAGAGAACCTCAAATTTGTCAGAGTAAATATCTTTCTTTCTTAAGCCACTTAATTGCACAGGCAACTATTCTAGCGTAGAATGGGTTACTGCGTGTAAATGTTAAACTGTGACGGATAAAGGACTGTTTTAAAATAGGTATACTACAGGAATGTCAGTATTTTCCCGCACAGACTAAGGAAAATTCGGCAATACCTGTCATGATGTCAAGAAATACGTCCCTGGGGCCGATTGTCGAAAGCTAAGCCTCCACAGTAAGTGGCATGAGTTGGGCCTCACCATGATGTTCGGTGAGAGCCGAAGAACTTCCCTTCATACGAATAAATATAAGAGTAATTTGCAGTATTTTAGTTTTTCATTTCTGTGAACTAATATTAGTGATGAAATAAATTTACTGGTTCACAGATAATTCTATAAGATGCGAGAACCATCTGTATACACGCTGCGAAATTTAAATTTATTTCCATGATGTTAAAAGCCCAAAAGTGTTTCGATTTTTTCCCCGGTTATCTTGCATCTAGCCTAGGTGCTTTTATGCCAGATATTACAACAACAAGGGAAGAAATTAATGTTATAAAAGAGGAAATAAGAATCTTATAAAGGTGCTAGAAAATAGCCTACTCACCTACTTCTTTTCTGGCGACCAAAATATGTCTAGCTACCCGATTTTCAAAATTAAAAATTCTTCCGAACCTTGACTATGATAATAACTAGGCATACAAATGCCGTAACAGAAAAAGCATTAAGAGAAAAACGAAATATAGTGTAGATCCCGAAATGTATGTATGGCATGTATACCCATCATGCATTTACAACAGAAAGTATGGGATATCTAAACCTTTGTAACCACGGCACATTAATACAACGATAAATCGTCTGGACATTATTCATCATCCTCATTTTTATTTCAAACATGTACAGTACATGTAAATACGATATTTTTTTACTCATGACCAAATTTTATTGGCACAAACTGAAAGTCAGTTTAATAAGAGCTAAAAAGAAACTCCGTGGCTTGAGTCCAACAAGCGAACTATACCGATCGAGCGACCGCCGCTTGTCGGCGAAGTTAGTGTCAACTTTACCGGATAGAGGGTGTCGCGTGGTCAGCGGAACGAATCCCCACGGCCGTTAATTTCGGTTTTCTAGGCTGGAGCCCCTATTTCCTTAAAACAGCTCCTCAATTAACCTCACGAGGCTGTGTGGACCCCGTTCCAGACCCACTACTTCTCAGAAAGTCTGGTAGCACTGTGAATCGAACCAGGACCTCTGGATCTGTAGACAGGAGCTCTGACCACTAGACCGCAGAGCTACCGGCATTTATACCACATAATAAATTCTAAGGTACATGAAGTAGGAAAGAGTAAATCGAATGTAACGTCCCTTAAGAACAGGTACCAAATAAGATGAAGTGCCACTTTGTCCACCACAAATCCCACTTGACCAGACGCTGGATCAAACCTGGGCCGCCGCGGTGGGAGGCCAGCGACTAACTGCTTGAGCTATGGCGCGGCCATTTCCCTAGTAACTCCACCCAGTGTACTTGTACAACATGGAAGAAGTTTGAATATTATCTGACACCGTGCCTTTCAGTCTTATTAATATTCCTTCCCTTGTCTAATCAAGCAGATAAAATGAATACAGACGAATAAAGTAACTCCAATGAGAAAAATAAATTGTTTCAACAGTTTAAATTGATTGGAGGCAAGTATGTTGTTCTGTTACGATGGGCAGCAATTTATATTCCAATGTTTACTATTTCTGTAGTCGTTGTTACTTTTGTGTCTGTGTAACGTACTTTACAGGCAAATTAAATTATGTAACAAGAGAGGCCTGAGAAGATGCATAATTATATATATATATATATATAAAGTTTAATTTTAATTAATAAAAAAAATATTGCTCAAAGTATACTTGATATACCGTAAAATTTACTCGTAATCCTACAGTATCATATGGACGAGTTCTCTTATTTAGAGACTTGTATCATACATGAGAAATAAGAACTGCATATAAAATTTTAGTTACAAAAAATACTGTAACTTTTTTTTAGTTTTGAGAAAATACAAGCAATTTCGCCGAGATTATAATGACACCCTTTTTATCTCATTGTTTGTAATAATAAAAATTAAATCAGTATATCATCTCCACAACAATTAATCTTCTGATTGTTCTCTCTTTGTTATATTTTCATGCCCGCCATATTTTTCGTAATAGGCGAAATGTACAGAGGTGTCTATAAGAAGCCTAAATTATGGATTTTCTTGTGAAGATAATGGATTAAAATATTTATCTTACTAAATTTCTGGATGCCAGATAATGTGAACCATTTACAGATTCATTAAATAGTACATCACAGACTCTACATTAATCCATAAATCACGTTCTATCTTGCAGCCTCCGCCTTCCTAGTGTTGTAGACACATTCAGAGCAAAATAAAAGTATTGTAGCGTATTTGGTCTCTGTGGACGGCGTTCGGATTGTTAATTGGTTTTATTAACAACCTACAAGTAACTACAATTGATTATAACAATGTTGCGGGTTTACACAATTTACAAATCCTACACACTAATCTCTTCACGCTATCTTCAGTAGTCTTCACGTATTAATAACAAGTCTCACTGAATTACACACTCCCAATACCCAATGCCTTCTCAGTTAGCAAAAACTAACACTAATTATCATACAAAATCTTCTAATCGCGTGTTCAGTTCTTCTTATTCCCGTGGCTGACTCACTTCTGTTCTGTCGAATACTGGCGAGTACTAACTGCTCCTTAGTCAAAGCTAGATATTAATTATTACCGTTTAACAGTTACGGTCTTGTTTCTGTGGGGCGCCCTCTCTGACGAGAGGACGGGTTTTTCTTTTGTATATGCTGCTGTCCCTTGCCAGCGCAGTCTCTCTCGGGTCCGAGTCCCTTGGGACTCATGACCATATTTTACTGTCTCAGATTCGAGACTTCCCTTTTTGTCGCCTCCCACGACTCCCAGGGTCACGGTGGAGGTATTCGACCCCGCCTCCACACGGGCTTGCTCCTTAGTCGAAGTCGAAGTCGAAGTCACATTGCAACTGACGGTCGGCCAGTCAGTCAGTACAAACCCTACACACTAATCTCTTCACGCTATCTTCAGTAGTCTTCTTTTATTTAAAGTATAGCACGGGAGCTATACAAGTGTCACTGAATTACACACTCCCAATACACAATGCTTTCTCAGTTATCAAAAACTACCACTAATTATCACACATAAAATCTTCTAATCATGCGTTCAGTTCTTCCCGCAGCTGACTTCTGCAGAATACTGGCGAATACTAACTGCTCCTTAGTTATTCCGATTTCTCTTATAAACCCTCAATCGGACAGACGGAAAACGCATTTTATGGAACCGGAAGGTTCATTACCGTGTTCACAAAAGCCCTAGCAAAGACATTATCAAATGTATAACTTAAACGTCATTCTTAGGAAACCCTCACCTTATAATAAAGAAATTAGGAAAGCCAAACGATCCTCATGGAGGAGGTACTACCAGGAGATCAATGAAGTACCAGGCAGTGCCAGACTCATGAAAGTCGTGGCAAAACAGACGACCAACAAGGTCAGTACTGTCAAGCTGCCTGATGGTAAGTATATCCAAACTGGAAAAGGGACACTGAAGGAACTGTTCAGAGTTCACTTCCCTGATTCAAAGCTGACTGATGATTCGGGTGATGAGCGAGGCCAGCAGAACCTGGGCGTATGTGGACACATAACGGACAGGGGAGACTGGAACCTGGCCAATCAATCAAAAATTAGATGAGCGTTAGGTACCTTCAAACCATTTAAGTTCGCGGGAACAGATGGAATTGTACCAGCACTTCTGAAGCTAGGGGGTGGAACATTTAGTCCCACACCAATGCCGCATATTCGGAGCCTGCATGGCGCAAGGGGTTATCCCTACGGCCTGGAGACAAGTCAAAGTGACATTTATTCCGAAGCCCCGGAAACTTCATTATACCGAGGCAAAGGCTTATCGTCCTATCAGCCTGTCGTCTTTCCTTTTGAAAACGATGGAGAAAATAGTAAATAGATACATTATGGACGATGCATTGAAGATTCATTCTCTGCGCCGAAACCAACATGCTTAACCGCACTGCATAATGTGGTAACACCCATAGAAAATGCTTTCGAACACAAGGATATTGTCCTTGGAGCATTCCTTGACGTAGAGGGAGCCTTAGACAGAATCTTTTTGACACAATAAAACAGGCCGCTGAAAGGCATGGCATTGAGCGCGCAATATGCATATCTGTGCTATGCTGGAAAGCAGGAATATGAGTGCTACATTGTCTGGAGAGACCCTGAGAGCGTCTGGGCGAGGGGGTGTCCGCAGGGAGATGTTCTTTCCCATCTGCTGTGAAGCCTGGTCGTGGATGATCTTTGAGGGCTCAACAGTAAAGGTCATTTCACAGTGGATTATGCTGATGATATAGCAATCCTAATCAATGGAAAATTCCCTCACCCTCTGTCAGAGGTCTTACAAACAGCCCTGTACACAGTTCAACAGTGGTGCGAAAGAACAAACTTACCTATCAATCCAAAGAAGACGGTAATTATACCCTTTACTAGGAAGCGGGATATAAAGGGGCTTAAGGAACCAGTCCTCTTCAGTAAAGCGATCTGGCTATCCAATGAAGTCAAGTACTTTGGAATAACATTAGACAAGGTATTGACATGAAAAAAAACAGCTGGACAAGGCTATTAACAAGGCCTAAAGGCCTTCTGGACATGCAGAGGCACGTTTGGAAAAACCTATA